TCCTGCATATTTGTTGCGTGATAGGTTCTTGGTTGGTTCGTTCCCAGAGTTCCTTGTTGCTTATTTTTTCTGGCCATCTGATCTTCAGCAGCGAGCGTAAGCAGTTGTTGATGAATGTCTGTAGTTTATTGGAAATGCTTTTCGTGACGCGCCAAGTCTCTGAGCCATACAAGAGCACTGACTTGACGTTGGTGTTGAAAATCCGTATCTTGTTCCGCATGCAGAGTGCAGAAGATCTCCACACTGGTTTCAGGCTAATGAACGCCTGTCTTGCTTTTCCGATTCTGACTTTGACGTCCTCGTCCGTCCCGCCTGTAGTTGAAACAGTGCTTCCTAGATAAGTGAAGGAGGTTACTTCCTTCAAGTTTCTCCCGTTGACGGTGATTGGAGTTTGTTGTTGTTGTTGATGGTGGTGGTGCGGTATCTTCATCACTTCTGTCTTCTCTATATTCACCTGAAGTCCCGTCTTAGCTGCCTCTTCTATCAACTTGTTAGTTTTTGCCTGCAGATCTTCAAGTTTATGTGACATTAGGCATAAGTCATCGGCGAAATCCAAGTCTTCTAGGTTATTTTCCGTCGTCCAGTGTATCCCCCTCTTCTCGCTGCCTACTGTTTGCTGCATGATCCAGTCCACCACAATAAGGAATATCATGGGGGATAGTAGGCAACCTTGTTTCACTCCTGTCTTCACTTCAAAGGCATCACTGAGCTTCCCATTGTGGATTACTTGGCATGTGGCATCTTCATATAGTTGTTGAATGAGGCGGATAAAGGTTTGCGGTACTCCGTAGTATTGAAGCAGTTTCCAAATTACTTCTCGGTCGACGCTGTCAAAGGCCTTCTCAAAGTCGATGAAGTTGAGGTATAGAGCTGATTGCCATTCTATGCTCTGTTCTATGATGATACGAAGCGTTGCAATTTGGTCTGCACATGATTTGTACTTCCTGAAGCCTGCCTGTTCCGGTCGCAGTTTTGAATCCAGTGCATCTTTAAGCCTCTCTAGGATGATGCGGCTTAATATTTTACTTGGGGTGGACAGGAGAGTGATTCCGCGCCAGTTCTTGCAAGCACTGAGGTCTCGTTTCTTCGGCAGTTTGACAAGGTAACCCTTCTTCCAATCGACAGGCAGGTACCTTCTCTTCCTTCCACACCTTCTGCAATTGTGGTGTGAGCATGTCCGCTGTTGTCTCTGCATCTGTTCTCAGTGCTTCTGGCGGTATTCCATCTGGTCCTGCTGCTTTCCCGCATTTCAGTAGCTTTATGGCGTTCAGGACTTCCATTTTCGTTGGGGGATTAATGTTCACTTGTAATTCAGCGGCTGCAGGTGGTATTTCTGGACGAAGTGCAGGTGGTGGTCGATTCAAGAGCTTCTTGAAGTGGTCGGCCCATCGTTTCCTTTCTTTCTCTTCTTCGTAATTAAATTTCCTTCTTCATCTTTTATTGGTTTCATCTGTGTTGGTCTCTTCCCTGATAGCAACCTGGTTATTTGATACAATGTCGTCAGATCTCTACTCTCCTACCTGCAGCCTGTTCCGCTTCACTTGCCAGTGTTTCGTAGAAGTGTCTTTTGTCTTTGCGTGCACTCCTCTTCACTTCTTTGTCCAGTGTAGTGTTTTATACATTGTACTCAGTTCCTCCTCTCTTTGAGCATCCTTGCACTGGTTTATCTTCTGCTTCTCCATGCCCCTTTCCTCTGTCAGCCTCCATGTATCCATCGAGATCCATTCCTTATCTTCTTTCTTTTTCCTACCTAATACGTTTATGCAGGTTTCTTTCTACATCTCTTTCGAAGAGTTCCAGTGTTTTTCCACACAGGTTTCTTCAGGGATCTTGCTCGATATCTCCCATTTTGTCTTGATGGTTGACTTGAAGATATCCTTTGTAGTTTCGCCCTTCAGTTCAGTTTCTGTTCTGTGTGTTGAACTTGAACTGTGGTCTATCACCAACTTCCTTGAAGGCTTTAACTTGATTTGGAAGGTTCCTTGCACTAGATAATGGTCTGAGCCTACATCTGCTCCTCATCTTGACCTTGTGTCAAGTAGGCTGCGTCTCCGCTTTGTTGAGCTTGAGATAAAGTCGATCTGATTTTTAGTGTGTCCTGGTGTCTGGTGAAATCCATGTCGCTTTGTGGATATCTTTGTGCCTGAACACACTGCCTCCAATCACCAAGCCGTTGAATGCACATAATTCTGCAAACAATTCTCCATTCTCATTCATTCCACCTAGCGCCTCTCGACCCATGGTTAGTTCTCTTCCCGTGTTATCCCCTCCCAGTTTGGCATTCATGTCGCCCATTAGAATTTTGATATCGCCAACTGATGTCTTGTCCAGTGTTGATTGAAGTTGTCTGTAGAAATCCTCCTTTTTCTCTTGCTCTGCATTATTTGTAGGTGCATAACATTGTATGATTGTGACCTTTCTTCCTTTTGAGTTGAATCTTGCTGTCATGATCCTGGAGGAGATTGGTTCCCACTGCATGAGAGCCTTCGATGCTGTTGGAGACATCATGATAGCCACTCTATAACTCAGTGTGCTCGTGGTTGTCGTCTGGGTGACAATATCGGGGTAGATTATTGATTCTCCAGTTGACAGTTTGGAGAGTCCACTCCCATTCCATCTGCTTTCGCAAATTCCAAGCACTTCAGTGTGATACCTCTTCATCTCGTTTGCAATCTGGGCTGCCTTACTGGGCTCAAACATCGTGCGGACATTTCATGTCCCCACGTTTACTTTCGCTTTCATCGAGAGAAGACACATCGGCCAATTGGCTTCCCGAAGGCTTTCACCAACTGGCGTTATTTCGCCTCTCCGATTCCAGCGGGAAATAAGTTTGTTTTCATTTTTTATATTTTGTTTGTGCTTTGAAGTTTCTTTAGCGGTTGGATTTGTTTTACGGGGTAGGGTTGCTAGCCCTATGCCCAACCTTCCCTCTTTACCCGGGCTTAGGACCGGCTAGTAACTAGTAAACTAGTTAACCAGGCGAGGTTAATGACTGGATGCAGATGTATATTTTAACTAAAATTTGTTTCTTCATCAGTGCTTAAAAATTCTATTCTTTTATCTGCTGTATTTGATGAGGTAATTTTCACTGTTATGATTTTCACCTGCTTCGATACTCCGTTCTATGGGTGGCTAGGGTCATAACATTTTAGACACTGCTGTTATTATTAGCATCGTCAGTGTCAAGGCGAGTTTTATTTCATCCTAAGATAAGTAGTATCATAATTACAAATCATATTTTATGTAACCACCTAATTTCCGCTCTTATTAAACGATCACATTGTTTTTCTTTGCCTAAGGATTAGTTGTAAATAGGTTGTAAGATCTGCTTGCTATATGATGTAGTTACTTATTGGCGTGCTTTGATCTTCTTGACTTGATGAATTCACAACTCTCCTTATTTCCTCTTCGAGCTGGTATAGATTAAGCTTTCAGGTTTGTCTAAAAGTTGCATATGTATATGATAATTATGGACAGTGGTTAACAGTAAAATCCAAAATGCGCATTTAGTCCTATTTGAAACTCGTCAGATGTATGTACCTGCGCCTCCGAGCGACTGATATTGTTCCCACTAAAACTAGGACACGTGACCGTTCTCTTCAAACACCAAGGTGTTATACACTGAGTTATGACAGCCACTCTTTGTACAACGAATACAGTTTTGATGTTATTGCAAGCAGTTGCCGAAACAGCACATCACATTCATTTTACGCGTTACATTTTCTGTACTATTTTGAGGTGGTTATTGTGTTTACCAAAGCTAATTTTCTTGGTGTATTATGTATGTTGCGCAACTGTTATTGGCCAGATAAAAGATAAGTTATCTAGTTTTGCCAGCGCTATATGTATTTACAAGTTTAGCTACTCCTGTCGGGAAAGTTATATAAGGCATACTACTAGATAGCCTAACAAACGTGATGCTGAACATCTGCCTTCATTGTTGAGAAGGGGACAGGTAAAACTCACCAGAAGTTCTGTTTTATCTCATCTCGTTGATAGTAGTCACTTGGTAGCTAAGGACAATGCTTTCACGATTATTAACCGCATATCACCTAGTCTTTCGAAAGGTATTCGAACTCGTCTTTTACACAGCAGAAGCTGTGAGAATTTGAGCTGCAAATCCTAGTTTTTATATCTAGAAGAAGTTTGTACCTCCCGTAATTCTTCCTTGGCCAGGGAATACTTAATAAACAACTTTATCATTGAAATTTCTCCTACCTTTTTCATATACTGAATATATTTGTTTATTATTTGTCTTTCTATCACCATCATTATTTTGAAATATCACATTAACCGACAAATCTACATGATTGGTTTAATTTTATGTATATTTCGCTGTTTATGTTAAAGTTGATATTTAAGAGGATCTAATTGAAAACAATATCATTCGTTCACTGAGGTTCATCATGAATTCTAAAGTTAGTCCACTTGTGGTTAATATTTTGTCGAAAAGGAGAACACTAGAACTACTATTATTTTACTTTTGCTAACGTTATCTTGACCAAAGGCAATGTCAAATTTGAAAGTATGTACAGTAAAGTTTTATCTCTTGAAGAAGCACTTGTTTTGTAAAAAGTGCGCTTTTTATACCTCCGAGTTTCGTCGGTTAAATTGTATCATCCAATAAGAGTGCAAATTACACCTCGCCCCATCAACTTTGGTTTGTGAAACCGGTGCATGTCATGTAAGTAGCCTAGTACACAAACCTATGCAGGGCTGCAACGCTTTTATTGGAGTTTTCTGAGTAGTTTGTTTTCTTCCAGTAACCTTGAGGTTAACATAAACTATGAGACATTGCATTTGAATTTCTGCACAAATTAAATCTTCAGATTTCGTTTCTGAATCCTTTTCGCATGCATTGAATGAAGTAATCTTGAATGTTTCCAATTGCATTCTATCATTAGTTCTATAATATTAAAAAATGCATTTTTAGTGTAAATAACCAACAAATGAATACCACGGAGTTCTAATAATTTCTTTATTTTCTATTTTAAAAAAAGCCATGTGGACGTGATGAACATGACGACTTACGTCTTAACTCAGGAAGTAGTCGTCCTCCTATTAAACCCCCCGGTCATCCACAAGGAAATCCACGACCAAAGCCTGATTTAAATGACTATTTTTGAAGATCTTTCGTATCTATATGATCCAACACGTCTATTAATAACGTTGCTAGTAAGTTCATATTGACGTATGGAAAAGACTGTATATTCGCTTTTTGATTTCGAAGGTATCAACACGTAAGCGTTTTTGATCTGAATTTCTAGCCAGTTTGATGACATTTACACGCTAACTGTTAAGTCTTTCTTCGTTTCCAGTAACTACTGCTGTTTGTTTGTGGTAGGGATTCCTTCTCGATTTTGCATTTTCTGATCTCCGCCTATTTCGTAATGTAGAAAAGTGTTTGTGTTTATACGCTTTTATACTGCCAGTTTGGTACTACTTAACTTATTCCTAATACGTCTGTGTAGCATTAATAAAAAACTACAGCGCCGAACGTTGTTGTTCTTTTTCCTCGAATCACCTTTTCCATTCGGGTTATCTGATTCACTTATTGTTTATTAAATGTTTCTTACTACTAGCCGCTTCAAGCTGTGATGTTTTCAGTTTGTTTTATTGGGTTACGGTTCTCACTTTGGAGGCATGTCACTACAAACTCGCTGACTTTACCATGTAGCTATAGATTTGAAGCACGGTTTTTCATCACCCGAAAGTAAGCTGCGTCTAGGCAAAGTTTTTTGCAGTGTTAATACCTGAAAAAAATTCAAGATCAACAGGGAAAATTGAGTTTGGTATGTTAATTACCGCGAAAGACTCCTACGGACCAATCTCAGCTACTCAAAGTTCACTGACAGGCTCACGTTTATTTCGCAATAAATATTTAGTTTATATGCATAAGTAGGGACACTGAGATAAAAGGGGATTTCAAGAAGTAAAAATCGCATTTTGTAGATGCCAGTCATCATGTATATATAGCATACCAACATCTTTGAAATGCAGAATGGTCGAAAACCTCCCAAGTTTGTATGTGGCTGTAAACGGTCAGTAAATGATCCTCATTTCAGCGTTACTCAATATATATGAAATGACTCCCAGTCATATACATATTGTAGAGAACCGTTTCCTTTCGTCATACCATAAGCTTTTCCGCTTCAAAACTATCCTTTTGTTTCAGTTCACTTACCACTTGGACCCATTGTTCTTTTTCACCAGTTTAGTTGGTTATCATGTACACTTGAATGTTTTATACATCGAATGGTGCTTCATATGAAGTTATGTTTTAACATATAAGCTATTGTCTAGTGTGACGTTTAACGCCGAACATCGCAGTTTATGTTTATTTGACGTTAATGTTTCTCACAAAATAGGTTAAAAACTATATGCTCCGATTGTTTGTTTTCTTTATACTACTAAGTAAATTAACAGTTGATTAAAGTTTGTGCTTGCTGAATAATCTGCTCAAGCAATTGTGATTCTAATTCATACAGCCTGTGACCGTCGGATTAAGTCATGCAGATTGACTTACGTCCTCGGGATGTTAAGAATCAATGTTTAGATACTCTTGGTGATACGGCTTATTGGTCTAGACACTTAACTTTCAACCATTGGGTACGGGCTTCGTTCCACCTATAAGGATTGAGTAACCAGGTAGTGTTATAAACCCTCATATAGGTGTGGCTCATTGCCTACGGTATAGATATGTACGTTGTTACTAATAGCTTGACCTTAGCTACGTGGCTTAAAATGGATCACAACGGAGCAGATGGATACACTTTGAAGTCTTGAATGTTTCCATTAACTTTCATCTACTCATTCCCTTAATCGTCCTAGTATATGACCATGGGTGGGACTACCTCTGACGTCCTTTCTAATAGTTATGTGATCTCACCATGTGTTGCAGTCTGCGCTGCATCACAACCCTATCACAAATTAGCACAAATAATAGAACTCAAAAACACTTATCAGACATAATAGCAAGCAACTTAACTCATTCTAAGGAAACCTGGCGTCTGCTGTAGAAACAGTAGTTAAGACAATTGGTAACCATCCAAAGGTTAGCAAACATCAATGGATTTCCGCAACGTCACCGGAACTGATTGATGCGAGAAGATTTTCCAGCAGACTCTGACTATAATGAAGAGCAAAGGCTACTCAAACATAATTTGACCAAGAATCTTCGCGTCGATCGCGCGCATTAATGGATGGCGAAAGCGCAAGGAAGATGGTGAAGGCAATAGCGTAGGGTAACAATTGGCAACCACTTAGGCTTATTAAGGATACTGGGAAGAAGAAGACGATGGTGGATGAAACCAGCACTGAAAAGGATGAAACGCTGACAACTTCCCAGAGCAGGCTGCTAGAAAGTTGGGCGGGACACTTTAAAACAGTTCATCTGGCCCACAGTAATGCCTCAGTTGCTTAACATCCAACCTGAAGGGCATGTGGTTGTCGCTTCTCCAACTCTTCGTGAAGTTGAGAAAGCTGTATTGAAACTGAAACGACACAAAGCAGCAGCAAGTGATCGTTTGCCACCTGAAGCTTTTAAGTTGTGGAGGTAGGGGATCGCTAATTAAACTGACAGAGGTACTAGGTAGTGTATGGAAATCAGAGGTAGTGCCGTCAAACTGGTGTGCTTCACTGATCATCCCAGTCTATAAGAAGAGAGAGAAGTCTTCCTGTGACAACCATGGGAAAACTAGTTTGACCAATAATGTGTCCAGGATCCATAATTATCCAATCCCTAACTGGAGCTCGAGAAAACCAGGCATGTTTCAGACCTGAACGAGGGTGCATCGATCATATTTTCACCCTATGACAGGTTCTGGAACACGGGCGTGCTCACCGACACGCCATACTTTTTGACCAGAAGGTGGGAGTTGATTCAGTTGACTGTGAGGTGTCTTGGCAGTTTCTGACTGAAAAGAAGGTAACATCAATTAAGTATGTAACCCTAATCTAATCTCTTTACTCGAACTCACGCAGGCGTATAAGGGCATACGGAGAGTCGTCGTGAGAACTGACAACAACTGGTAGTGTCCGTTAGGGATGTTCACTGTCACAGTTCCTGTTTAACTTTGTCATAGATGTACTAATGAACACAACTTTAGGAATGTCTGACTTCACAGGGATTGATCTACTCTTTGTAGGTCGTTTAGTATGCAGACGATATTCGCCTGCTTGGTGAAGACACTGGCGCAATGCTGGGTCTTCTGGTTGAGTTAAGCAGAAATCTGAGTGTGTTTGGCATTCATATTCATTGTTCACTTTAGAGTAACCAACTTCATGTTGCGTAGTCTTCAGTGCTAATTGAGGTTTTCCAATCATTTTGCAATGTAGCCCCCAGACTAGTTGACTGAACATCGCGATGCACTTTGATAAGTGTTGGTTGGATGGAGGCAATCGACACGAAGCCCTGGATTTATGTTTTGGCCATTCATCATCAAAGCGTATCTGCAGCTTCAACGGAATTGATGTCCATTTGGACAGGGTTAGACAGACTAACTGGTCACTGAAGAGTAACCAACTTCATATTGTCTAGTCATAAATCCTGACCAGATCTATTCGATCAATTTGCTCAATCCAGTCCCACAGGAGGCCAGTTGCGACCCGACTACCTCAATGATAACGTCTTTGACTGCAGAACTGGGTAAAGCGGGTTCGAATTTCAGGCGGGACATAAGTTCCGTAGGGGTTGCAGATACGCCTTGCTGACGAATGCCAAAAAGCACTAATCCTAGTTCCACTGATTCGTGCCGAATGCTTCCATGTGTTTCGCACCTGTCAAGTCTGAAATAATGCTTCAGAACTAATTTGTAACTAATACCAGTTGAACGATAGCGAGTAAAGTGGTTGAATGCATTTACCACTTCATTTACTATAGAAATGCATGAGCCCGAACTCAAGAAATCTGAACTCGGATACGATACAGACGATCCGTTTGGCTTTTGACAGCTGCATCATCTCTGGTGCCGACTACCTAATAATGAACATGAGCGTACTGCACTGAAGTCCATTCTGTCTCGTTATGCGGCTGTGAGATATGGTCGTTAAAAGTAGAAGATATGAAGAGACTACAGACTTTTGACCACAGGTGTCTTCGTAGCATTGGTTGCGTATGGTATGATCACCATGTGAGCAATGTAAAGTTTACTAAGTGTGACAAGCAGTTTATTGGTGAGGTTGTTTACCTTCACCGAGTGAGGTGGCTCGGACATGTGTTACTCACACTGAGTCGCCGTCTACCATCTACCTCGACGTGCAATGCTAGCAGAAGTTGTATGAGGGTTGAAGAGAACTCATAGTGGCCAGAATGGAAAGTGGTACGATTGAATCAAGTCTGTGACAGTTGGTCTGAGGCGTGTATGGAGGTGTAGACAACGTGAGTAGAGTCCTGAGACCATAGAAATCAATGATTGGAGACCCTTGGTGAAATGGCTGATAATCGGTGACAACGTTGTAGATAAATTCACTGACGTCTTCCAAGCTTGAATGTTTCTTTACACGTCTGATCATACAGCATTTCTGTAAAAACTATGAGTTTTAGTGATCAGAGTATATCACCGAAATGGGATTAGCATCTGCGCTTGGCAGAAGTCGTAACGTACTCCAGCTTATTTGAGTCAGTGGTTGCGAGAAGCGTAGTGTTGGTGTTGCGGTCTGTGAATGGGATGGGATGCCGATCAGCAACCTCTGTAAACATCTGAAAAGCTGGGCGGAGAACTTTCAAAAGCCATCTGTCCTGCTCCCCAATAAACATAGATCTTATTGCCCTGTGCAGGATGGTTGACTCACCTAAAGAAACGAATCCCTACAAGCAGTCAACACTAAACCTTTGATTTCCTTCATGAAATAATTCATCCAGTATGACTGCCTACTCTCATTTTGTTACTTGCTCTTATTCAATCTTTGGTTAGAACTCATCGAGTTTATCTTCGCTTTCGACTGCTTATGGTAAATTTTTACTTCATATAATTTATTTCCAATATTTCAGAACTATCACCTCACTTGTTTGTTAAACTCCTTTGTATAAATTCTTCAAATCATTCTTTTGTCCATATCAACTTTTTATATGATTATTGTTTTTTGCATTTGATGGATACTTTACTCTCCTCAATTTTTTCAATAA